TGCGAGCCCCTCTCCCCCCTGCATGGCGTGGCTCGGGCAGCCATCCAACTTGCCCTCTCTGGGCTCAGTCTTTCGTGGCTGTAGACCCAGATCTAGAATCCCTGCCGCCAGCAGTCCTGCAGACCTCTTTCCACAGTCAGACATTACACCTGTCCCAAGGGACGCGGCCTCGGTGCCGTGCAGTTTTCTTCTGACCCTCTGGGCTCGGAGGTCCCACAGTTCTCTCCAGCTTTTAACATTCTCCAGGTGTCCTCTGTCCTTCCCAGCTGTAGTTTGTCTCACCAGCTGTGTTTACTTCACCAATTCGGGGTGGATGTTATTCAATTTAGTTGCTCATTCTATTTGCTCTGGCACAAGGCTCTGGACACATCCATCTATTCCACCACCATTTTGTCATTCTCCATCTCTCTCGTGACTTCTATTTCAACTGTGATGATGTGTCCATGGAGAGGGTGGGCCACTTCTTCTGAGAGTTGGTTGAGAAGAAGTGAAAGTGTTCTGAGTGATGCTTAAAGTTGTAAAACGAGTTCAGTGGCTGCCTTCTCTCCAGGACCTGCTAACGCCACCCAAAGATGAGTGTGTAAAACTCAGGATGCCATGGAAGCTGTCCTGGCCTTGGAGAGGAACCTGAACAACCTAGAGCTGCAGGCACTGGCTCTACCCACAGACTCTTAGCTCTGTCAATCTATGGCTTTTTTATACACCAGTAATGAACTCATAGAAAGATTTTTTAAAAATCTCATTTACCATTGCACCAAAAAATTAAAATACCTAGGAAGAAACTTAATTAAAAGGATAAAATACCTGTACTCTGAAAAGTATAGGACATTGGAAAAAGAGATAGAGGAAGACATAAACAAATGGAAGAATATACCGTGTTTGTGGATTGGTAGAATCAACATCATTGAAATGTCCATACTACCCAAATCAATCTATATATTCAATGCAATCTCCATTAAGATACCAAGAGCGTATTTCACAGACCTAGAAACAAGTCTCCAAAAATTCATATGGAATAAAAAGAGACCTCGAATGAATATAGCACTCTTGCCAAGGAAGAACAAAAGTTGGAAGGATCACAATACCAGATATCAAGATATATTACAAAGCCACTGTTCTCAAAACTGCCTGGTACAGGCTCAAGAATAGTCACATAGACCAATGGATCAGAACAGAGAACCCAGGAATCAACCCAAGCCATTAAGCTTAATTAAAGTTTGACAAAGGAGACAAGAGCACACAATAGAGTCAAGACAGTCTTTTTAATAAATGGTTTTGGGAAAATTGAACAGATACATGCAAAAAATGAAGCTGGACCACCAATTTACTCCATAGACAAAAATAAATTCAAAATGGATAAAGGACTTAAACATAAGATGGGAAACCATAAAAATCTTATAGGAATCCATAGTCAGCAAATTAGCAGGCATATGTTGTATCAATATCTTTACTGATACAGTTCTTAGGGGAATGGAAACTAAGGAGAAAATAAACAAATGGGACTACATCAAAATGAAAATCTTTTTCTGAGCAACAGAAACCATTAACAAAACAACAAGAAAAGCCACTGCATGGGCAAACATATTTGCCAATGTTATATCCGATAAGGGCCTAATCTCCAAAATCTATCGGGAACTCATGCATCTTAACAGAAAGCAAATAAACAATCCAATCAAAATAAGGGCAAATGACTTAAATAGACACCTTTTGAAAGAGGACATACGGAAGGCCAAGAGACATATGAAAACATGCTCTAAGTGACTAGTCACTTTAGAGATGCAAATCACAATGACAGATAGAATCTGACACCAGTCAGAATGGCTATCATCAACAAATCAACAAATGACAAGTGCTGGCTATGATATGGAGAAAAAGAAACCCTCTTGCACTGCTGGTGGGAATGCAGGTTTGTGCAATGCATATTATTGTGAATAATAGTATGGAGTTTCCTCAAAAAATTAAAAATGGAACTTCCATTTGACCCAGTAATCCCACTTCTAGAAATGCATCCCAAAGAACCAGAAACATCAATCAGAAAGGACATATGTATGCCTATGTTCATAGTTGCACAATTTACAATAACTAAGATTTGAAAACAGCCCAAGTGACCATCAGCAGATGAGTGAATTAGAAAACTATGGTACAGCTACACAATGGAATACTATGTTGCTGTAAAAAAGAAAGAATTCTTACCATTCGCAACAGTATGGATGGACCTGGAGAGCATTATGCTAAGCAAAGTAAGCCAATTAGTGACATAGAAATATTACATGATCTCACTCATTTGTGGAATATAATCCTATATAATAAATAGGTAATATGAAAATTAACTCTCATGCCCTCAGAAGATGGCTGCCTATGACCAGGCCGGCAGGGGGGGTGGTTAGTGAGAGACAACCAAATGACTGAATAAGCAGGCTGCATGGGGTGACCAGGCCGGTGCGGGGGGGGGCAGTTATGGGCAACCAGGACATCAGGGGGGCCAGTTTTGGACAACCAGGCTAGCAGAGGGGAGCAGTTATGGGAGATATCAGGACAGCAGGGGAGGGCAGTTGGGGGGAAGCAGGCAGGGGGAGCAG